GACAGACAAACGGGAATGGAAATGTCACTGTATGTTATGATGTACTTTTATTCAGAGTCATTTCTTTTTCGAGTTCATAGTTCATAGTGACAAGATACATTACAGGAGTGTAAGATACATTTTGATATCCTACTATTTTTAATAAATTCATTTAAAAGATCTTTTTTCTTTCGATACTGCCTCTCAATAAAGCCGAATTTTATACAGTGTTTATCGGAACACCTAATCTTGATCGGTTAGGGCCCTCATTTTGAAAGAAAAACAATTGTGAAAAGTACATTATCATTTTGAACTGTTCTGATAATACCACAATGCGCTTACTTCTTTCATTTTTGGGGGTCGATTTGATTCAAGAGAACATATGTAAATAGTCTTCAGATTGGACAAACATGGACATAAAGGCTTAAATTTTCACGGCAATTAGCTAAGCTAAAAGGAAATCCAGTTCCTCAGAATAAGGTACGATTGGTCAAACGGATAAATTCGCCCCTTTAAACATAATAATATACTATCTCAACGAAATATGAATTAAATTTATATCATGGATATGACCTCAATTATATAAGAAAACCATATGATTAAGAAGTTGTTTGTCCTTCGATCAAATCCTAGATAAAGATACAAGTAAGTGTCTTTATTTAGAGCTGATTTCCTGTTCATATACATATTAAGAGTATCACTGTCAAGACAAGTTTATGGAAAGTTTAATGGTGTCACTTTTTGTTTCCTTTAAGGATGTTAACAATTGAAATTACGTTGTTAGTTTCATAGAAGAAATTGTCAATGACGACGAATTAAGAGAAGTCAGTGTTTGATTTGATTTGATCAAATTTGATTATGGACAGTGGTTGTTACAGTTCATAAAATTGTGGTTCTTAACTTTCGTTCTAGATGTACATTAAGAAATTCTTTTAGTGATCATTCGGGGATGTAGGATGGGTTTAAAACATTCAAAAATAGAAAACAACTTTTTTAACAAAATCTCTATGTTCTGATCGTAAATGTTTAAGGTTGCACACACTTTGATCATTGTGCACAATAAAATGTAGAAATAGCTCAGTTTTGTGTTCAGATATTTTTTATTAGGTTTAGCTACTTTTTTTTAGACTATTTTGGGAATGTATGTATCATGATCAGTAAATAAGTAACTTATCTTGTATTTCAGGACAAGGTGGCAAGATGGATGATCTTGCATTATCTATGATGAATCTCAGTAACGTTACAAACATAACAGACGAAGAAAAATGGCGATATCTCCGATATCTTGATGATGATCATTCACTGTCTGTTTTGGCTGGAATGATATATCTCGGAATACTTTCAATTTTAGGACTGTTCGGTAACATTCTCGTTGCGGTCGTGTATATCAAAAACTTTCAAAACAGCACATCGCGAATTTTTATATTATTCAAATGCGTTTTTCTTATACATTTGAAAGTGTTGAACTATGCAAATTTATCAAAGTGTGCAAATATTTATCCATAGTTGGATCCGTGTTTACTTTGGTAGCAATCAGTGCCGATAGATACAGAAAAATATGCAAGCCATTTAAAAAACAAATCAATGAACTACATGCTAAAGTCATTGTCTTGCTAATTGCCATCAGTTCGTTGGCGTTTACCTTGCCATCGCTCGTGGTTCATTCTGCTGTGGAGGCGGAAACAGACATACCCGGAATTGTTGGCAAAAAGTGTGCTTTCGAGGACTCCTCTGGTGGAATCTGGTTTACGATATATTTTGTGGGACTTCCGATAGTCATGTTTATTGCCTGTTTCACTGTTCTTTGTGTTCTGTACATTTTAGTGGGCAAGCAAATATTCCATCAGAGTAATTTTAACACTAGACATAAAACAAAGGCAACTGCCGATTCCGTCGATCTGGATGCTGCCGATTCAAAATTAAGTCCAAATGACACCTCAGGTTCAACATCTGCTTTAAATCAAAGAGAGATTACACCAACCAAGCCACGGAAACCTGTTGGACTTTCTAAAAATAGAACAACCCTGATGTTGTTGTCAATTACAGCAGTATTCATGATTAGCTTTGTTCCCTATTTGATCATTGCCATACTGAAAGTGTCCATGGACAATTTTAAACAGACTTTAAGTTTTACTGGGTATCAGTTTTACTCTGTATTTATGAGATCTTACTTTTTGAATTCTTCTGCAAATCCATTGGTGTACAGTTATTGGAATAAACGTTTCAGAGAAGGATGCGTTCGATTGTTAACTCCGTGGAAAAGTAGAAAGCGCGTTTTGAAATTCTAGTGGTATATTCAAAAGCTGATAGCTAGGAATTGGTAAAATATTCATTACTTTCTGAAGCTCAACGCAATTTTTAAAGGTTGATATTGTTCAACAAATACTCAAAAATTTGCTTTGTGCGTGTTTATAAATTAGTATAGCATGAATAGAAATCCAGCCTCCCCTGTTCGACAGAGTGAGGCGGACACAAAAGTCCCTTTATGATAATATGTGACCATAATGTATGTGCAAAGTATTGACTGTCAATTTTATATTTATGTTACTTTCTTGTTAAAATTAAATACTATACAATATAATGCAGTTTTATTAATTTGTTCATATTTGATAGCTACAGACATAGTTTTGTGCTAAAGCATCATAATTTATGACATTTTAACATTATGCATTTACGTAGGAGAATCTTTGCGTTTTGCTATTATTGTAACAAAAAGGTCGGGTAAAAAGTAGTTTGTTTCACAATGCAGTATTTGTTGCCATCAGAATTGTTAGTTTCCTCTCTCGAGTGCGAGACGCCAAAACAGCAAGAAGAGACAAATGAGATAAGGAAATACACGTCCTTTTATCGCCAGATGTTTTTATCTAGATATATAAGCCATGTACTAGTATATTATTGTCAAATGTCAATACGTATTTACATTATACGTTAAACTTCTATTTCTATCAAATACAGACACACCCAGTTTGAATAAAGTGTGAATATAATATATCGTTAAAGTTAAATTCAAAGTACAGTTCACACTGTCGGCGATATAAAATCTCACTGCCCAATTTCAACAATATTTTTTGATACAACGTTTGAGATATTAACTAATAAATAGTGTTTAATAGTGATTGAGTTAAGCCTGACTGTTTTGGTGATTTTCAGTCAGATCACGATTACATAATATAAAAGAAAGTAGTTTTGAACAGCACTTAGAAACAAGAGACAACTACTTTGCACTGACAAAAGAACACGAACGTGTAAATGGCGGTTAATATTAACAAGGCGTCTGTGAATGAATTTTTGATCAAATTATTGCGTCAAATTAATTGTCTTGAAAGTTTAAAACTGGACTCTCTTTGTATGTTATCTTGAAAATCTTAATTTGTTCAACAACATTTAGGACTCACTTAGAAAAATTGGATCAACTTTTTCTCATAAGTGCATTTAACAATATATTGTACCACGGGTTATGCAACAAACCTTTTTATTCGGAATATTGGAAATGAGTAGTAGTATATATAATCGCGGGTTATCCCTCTATGAACTTGTTTATCTATAGCAAAATTCAATAGCTATGACATGAAAATTAGTCAGTTTTCCGACTGTTTATCAAGAACACAACAGTTTTCAAATCATTTATTGCGAATTAAAAGTTTGTTGGTTGTTAGATTTTAGTAAGCAGACAAACAACCCAAAAAAAAAATACAAATCTCAAATTTTCTTTGCACAGGATCACTTTTTGTATCACGTGATTAAACCAATAATCACTAATCAATGATGCATTCAAACTCAGTAGAGAAATACTGATACGTTGATTGTAAACTTAGAGAAGAATTCAACCCTCAATTGCAAGGGAATATATTGTGGTTTTTCAAGGACGGATGTAACATGACATAGTTATAACTTTTGGGATATTGAACAAAACAGTGCATTAGTAGTCTTTCAAGCAATTGGTATTCATTTTGGGAATAACATTTTCGGTGGAAAATGTTTAATCATATAATAGAAATTCAGCCACAATTACTCTCTGACTACATTGAGCTTTGAATTGAATTTTTTTTCTCTCATTCATAAATATTCAAAATCAAATTTCTAACTGTATGTCATTTGTCTTAGAATGTCTTTGGGTTCATAGAAATATAAGGACAAGTTATTTTACATTTAAAATTGACACACTTCGTTCCTAGAAAATTCAATGAAAATTACCTACTGTAAATAACCCAAAACCATACACCATAAGTTTTTATTTATTTTGGTCATGGTCAACGAAGGGGTACCGAGAAATAGTTATAGGTTGTTCACCTAGGATCTAAACCACCATAATGCCTAAAACAATATACACATGTAATAATGTAATTATTGCATCTCTTATTGTTGGTTGCCATAATAAATCCTTGATTTTTTCAATGGTTTGGTGTATGGGAAATAATCCCTTTTAATAACGACAAGAACACTATAATTATCGGTAAGATGAAATGAATTCATCAATGTAAATGTTTGAATTTTCAACCGTTGTCGTCAAAATATATTAAACACTCATTTTACATGTTGAGACCAGCACAAGACGTTTGTAAAGAAAGTGCACCTAACAAATGAAATTGAAAACATTGTAACTAAAAAGAGATACATTTTTAATTATAACTCCCTCTTAAAATACAAGAAAACTGATTTCAAAATTAATATTGTCATCATTTCTGTACTTAGTCACAGAAAACGTAAAATTTATTGCCCCAAATAGCTGAAAGTCGTTTTATTGTCTTAAAATATTTGTAGTAACATTGTGTTGGTTCAAGGGAGACAAATCCACTTAATGACGACATGTACACCTTGAATAATCAATATATTTTATGTCGAATATAAAAATAGTCAATACAATTACAGTCTTAATCATCACACCTGTTACAATATACTTTATCATCCAGACCTTACATTTAATTACAATTCTTCTAGTCTCGATCAATCTTGTAAAAAATCGAAATCAATTTCACATTTTCTTGGAACATCAGATATACATATTGCTTACATAATACAGAGTTACATTGTTAATTTGTGGTTAAAATTCTACTCTTGTGACATGGATACATAGGATGTGATCCGAAAACATATGCCGTGGCATGATATTCTAAAATTCACACAAAAGAGTTTTATATATATAACGATTTAATAAATCAATGAATTAATAACAACGAAATCTCACAAGAAGTTTCAAATGAGAAGCAGATGACTCTTGAATCAGACCATAGATGTTGTGAGTGTAGTTTTTGGGCCAAGTATGTGTTATTTGGTTTTAATTTTCTTGTATGGGTTAGTATGTAATTTATATCAAATTTTGCTTTATTCATGATCGAATTTGCCAACTCCAGATGTTTTTTTAAATACATTCGTTTACAAAATATTTCACTCTTATACAAATAGCATGAAGACACTGTACTTTTCAATATAATGGGGTTCCAAATGTTCAGAAGAAATATATACACTTATTGAAATCAAAAGTCATTGCCAATCAAAATAGCACTTCAAATCGTTATGCATTTCCATTTATTAGTTGCATTTCAAGTTTTTCTTACCTAAAAGCCTGTTGTCATTGATGGTATATTAATTTGAAATAAATATATCAAGGTTGTTAAGAACAGAAAACTGTTGAAATATCAGACAACAGAAAAGTAGAGTATGTGGCCAAGTTACAATACACGGTTATCTCCCTTTGAATAAGAATTAAAAACAAATAAACTACCAATTTATCAAATTAAATGAAGCATCAAAACAGGGCTGAAAAAGGTGAACTTTCGAACGTTTGTCACTGACCTTATCCTCCTTCGATTTCCAAATGACGAGGGATCCTTCTCGTCCACAGCATGTAGCAAAGGTCAGGGCGATAAAACAATTTCCGCGCCATCCCATAACTGGGTGAAAATCTGGAGATCTTGGTGGGTAATATGATATCCCCGACCTTAATATCAATTAATGTAAATATTAACTTTAAAGGTTGCAGGAATTGTTTTAATTGCCATTGGAATTTGGGCAAGATTACAGAAAGAAGGCTTGGATCCATTGGATCATCTTGTTACAGATCCAGCTTACATACTGATAGCTGTCGGGGTGGTGATGTTTTTTATCAGCTTCTTTGGATGTATTGGTGCGCTTAGAGAAAACGTAACTCTTTTAAAGATAGTATGTATATATTGTTATATTATTAACATGTTCGACAAACAGTGGTTGTGGAGACATTAAAAAGAAAATATTGATTATGTTATTTACTTGTTCCTAATTGACAAGAGCGCATCTCCTGTTGTTCGGATATAGATTATGTAACAGGACATATTAAGTTGAAATTATGGCAAAGGAGATTTGAGCAAAGTTAGCGATCTTGCAGAAGGGATGGTGTTCGGTGTTCTCTTTCCTATATGTGATTCTAGACTAATTGACAGAGACTGTGGTTTCAAGTTATAACTACGTCTTTAACATTGGTAGACCGTCATTGGATCTAATGAAATCATTTTCATTTTCAGTTTTGTATTGTTGTGGTAATCATATTCATATTACAAGTGATCGCTGGTGTTTTGGCGTTTGTATTTGTCGATAGTATTGAAAAACAAGTATTAGACTATATGAAGCATTCTCTAGAACATTATGACGATAATGCAGATATAAATGATTTGGTCGACCAAATACAGAAACAGGTTTGTGGTAGTCTGATAATGGATGTTTTCAGATGAATTCTCAGAAACTGTATCAGATCATCACAGCACATACACATACCAGGATCACAACTAAAACCAAATACATGCGATTCTCTTTCCATTCAGAATAGTTCAATATCATATCTTAAAGTTATGACCACTATTCTTTCTCAGATGTTTTTCTACCCCAATAAAGTCTCTTTTGTCTCGAAACATGACTTTCATCATATCATAGAGATATTCATACAACTACAAAAGAAACGATTCTTATGGCATAATCTGATTGTTTCATTCCACACGAGTTTTCGTCAAAAAAACTTTCTATTGTGTGATGTTGTGCTTTGTGTAAACCCTTGTTCCTTACTTAAACGCCAGGCTCTATTGATCTGTAGAACCTTTACCTCATTTCCATCATTTGGTTTGATTGAATGTTTTAAGTCCACCAATCTGTATTTCAATATTTTGTAGTATAAATGTTGTGGTGCCGCTAGTTACAATGATTGGGAAGTCAATTTCTATTATAATTGTTCCTCGACAGCTGTATCAAGATGTGGTGTACCAAGTTCATGTTGTCGTCAACTAGGAAATAGTGGAGTACAATGCGGATATAATTCAAGACGACATGGGGTAGGTCAAGTCAGTAAATGAGAAAATTGACCTCTATACTGTCTCACTGAAGTCTTTTACAGACATAATAGCTTCCGAAAATCAGTTAATAATTGCAATGAGTGGCAAATTTCATACATCGTGCTCTCATACATTATTGCCGTAAATAGCAGTGTCTAAATAACTGTGCAAATATAAGTTAAGTTGAAACAGAATTAAAATTGTTCTTTAAATCATTTTATGTTGCACAAACACATTAATTTGCACATAAACACTACAATAATAAGTAATAACATCTCAACAGTATTGGATGTACAAGATACTGCTCATTTTTTGTATTAATGATTAGAATAAAAATTAACAAAAGATTTAAAAGGAGATATAAAGATTATAATTTAAAAACATAACGTACTGTCACGGATTATTATAACAAAAGATTAAATTTACACAAAGAATAAAATATCAATTTAGCTACATTAGCAGCTTATAAATATATGTGGATAACCGATAAAAAGCTAATGGGGGAGTATAAAGACTAACTGTTGTTCATAGACTGTAACAATTTTTGAGATTAGTGGCTTTAATTGCCGTTTGCTATTTCTTTTTGGGACATCGCCTACAAAGCATAAATTATTTAGGTATAAATAAAATCAGAACAATTTTCGTTTCATTTTTATTATAGCCATTTCAGTTAAAATCTCACGACAGGCCTCTTGAAAGTTCGTCAAATTAACCTTTTGGCCTAACTCGACGACGTTTGCTTTAACCTATCAAATTCTTACCTTCTCCCAGTGCTAGCATTTTGTGACGCGGTGTTTATATAAGGTTAGGTCAAAAGGTTAATTTGACGAACGTTCAAAGGAACTACCATTAAACCCTTACTGAAGTGGCTATATTTAAAAAAAAAGCTAAAATAAAACATGGAACGAAAGTTAGTTCTTATTTTGATTAAATAGGCTGAAAGTATTTCAGAGAAGGTTTTCATTGGTGTAGATATATTTTGCCTCTGAAACAATTTTCTACTATCCAAATGAGTAGCAAATCTCAGAAGTACAAGCTTTGCTTTTTATTTTAGATGTTTTTGTCGTAACGACATCATTTGTTCTATAAGTCCGAAACTATTACATATTCTGTCGCGTTTCATTGTAGTGGGTAAAATTCGTGGCAGGGGCCTAGGTAATACATATTTATGAGGTCACATGATTTATAATCCGACAAATCGACGTACTCCTTCATATCAGAAACACATTACGAAACTCAACAATTTTATAAGAGTGCAGTATGGAAAGGGTCCTTTTGATTCACCCCACATAAACGATCTATTTTTTGTATGTGTTGTTTGGTTTAAACGGCGATGTCGTAAAAAGAGTACTTCTAAAACTTCTCAAATTGATATAGAAGGTTAAGTTGGTGCAACATTGATAGATGTATTTTCACATTATGTCACATTATGTTAGAATGATGTAACCTACATTGTGATTTCAATAACGTATTACAAATATTTAAAGATGCTTCGATAATTATTTTTTTATCTGTAGTTTTCTTTAAAAAGTAAAAAGATTACTCTTCTTTACAATAAAAAAGGTTAAGTCCAAATTGGTTTGGTGATTAAATAAAAATGTACCTTAATCGACATTTACATTGTACCACGTACGCCTACAGCAGCGTGCGTTCGATCAAATAGGCCTTCCATTTGATGATGGATATATATTAAAATGTTGTTGAGTACCAATTTAGAAGATGCACAAAATTGCCCTAGTGCTTCACAATGTCCAAACCCACATCACCTTTATGTTTGAACTACATACACTCTGAATGTACTTGAAATCTACCGAAGCAACGGAGGTTTTAAAATATTTATAAAAATTTTGTGATAAAATTGTATTTTTTTATTAATCCTTTCTCACATATATGACAAGCAAACACAACAATGTTCGAGTTTATAAAGAAATTTTGTAGAAAAGAGTTCCAAAGACAGGTGTTAAGTTAATGATTTTTTTTACCCGACTTAAATAATGGAAATGATATTAAAGATTCTATATTGGCTTGCAGGAACAATATGCCAACGCAGTGATCTATATAACTGGATGTATCCATCCTCTGATGACGGTGTTTCAAGATAATTTGGTGATTATTGGTTTGTTGGCATTTTGTGTTGGATTTATTGAGGTGGGTATTACACGTTATATAGGGAAGTAAATACGAGGTTCCCTTTTACGCTTATTCTTATCCTGTTTTTCAAAATTTTTGAATCGTACTTTGGATTGAGATTGAAACGGGAGTATGTCTGCACTTTTAGCACACAATAATATAATGTGGATATATAATATAGCTCTACGGACTCTTCCAAAGGAATGCTCAATTGTTACAGGGTGTAATCAAGTGGACCGAAGATCGGAATAGTTTACGAACAAAGGCTGGTCTAGCTACTTTAGTTTCATTTATCATTCTACACTTCTTTACCGTCTTCGGTTATCCTAGTTCATTTTATGATTTGGTTTATTGTTACATTGTGTTCATTGTGATCAGTAAGACCATCATCATTCTCCGTATCGGGCGAATTTTATAGCTGGAAACTTCAACATAAAGATTATATTAGGTATTTCCTAGACGAAATGTATTGTCAATCGCACAAAAGTGAATTGGCTTGGACAATCAATTTTACCGAAGTAGGGTCATAATGTCAAAAGAGCTTGGCGCCAGCTGAATTAATTTTCAGAGTATAATCATATAAAAATGCAATGTAGTTCTATCTATATATTAAACAGAAGGTTTTATTTGAAACGTCGGGTTAATTTAAATGCGTATACATTTAACAACAGATTGGTGTCGACTGTGCTGCAGTGCTTACCCAATACCAGAAACCAAAATTTTGATGTAAACTTCTTTATCCGTTAAATTTCTCTGTTACATTATCTTTGCTAGTAAACTTCATCATTCAAGTTTTAGTGAAGGGTATGTATTTGGTTAATGATGAACTTAATGAAAAAGTATTGAATTTCGATCGTGTAATCTTTGGTTTGAATTTCCTGTTGTTTAATAGTAGCGCATTTAAACTTTTCTGTTCTCGTCTGAAAGTGTTAAATGTAGCTAATGTTTTCTTTATATATTTTCAGTTATTCTCGTTATTGCTGGCACATTATTTGATGAGGAATATAATGCTGAACAACAAACTCTTAAACTGAGATTGATTGTTATGTTGTTTTTCTGATATTAATACTTGAAAAGTATTCATGTTCCTGAGATTTGTTAGATCAATTACTTAGAATGATGTTATTTATTTTTACTATCAATGATTTCTGCATGTATTTTTTTTTTTTAAATCAACTCTTTTTTTCATTAAACGTTATCAAACACCAAACCTAAATTGCATATTAAAGGTGGTATCTCAGATTTATCTTCCCTCTTAAGTTAAGATTCGTTCCATTGGAGCAAATGATGCTACTGTTCATTGCCGAATATATCATTAAAGCAGTAAATGTCAAATTACTGAAGTATAATTTTATTACTGAAGCATATTTTATGTCATAACAGCATGTATGATTTACCAAACAAAATATCCTCTCGCCTTTTTGTTATCTTGGATTGCTTTTCCAGTATTGTTTCATTTTAACAAACGTTAAAACCAATTCTTATGTTCTTTAATTTATAACATGATAGTATTGTTCAAGTTTTTAACCCTAAATGCACTAAATCGAAAACATATTTATTTGATTTAATAAAATGTTAATATTGAAAGTATGAAATACTGACAAATATTCTCACCAGCTCAATACTGTCTATTTGTGTAAAAAGTACGCATTTCCTTACCAATGAGCACATAGAAAAACGACAATCGAAAGGAAATACTACAAAAACAAGAGTTCTCGATATACATATAAAGCACACAACGATGAAATAAATTCTGTACAACTTTAGTACAAAAGCATTTAAAGCTCTCACGAAAACTTTTGGGACAGTCTTGTATAGTCATCAGTCATGGGTATGTAATAATACCATTATTACTTATGTGGACTCTCCTGAACAGATGATGGTTTGACATAACCAAAGCTCAAAATTCATTATTTCACAACCTACATACATGAAAATATTAACAGTCAAGTTAATAATTATAGTCAAATTACCATATTTCGTCTGGATGTGAGAAGAATTTCTGACTAAAGCTTATTCCCTATAGGAAAAATATTAAGTTGAAGAATAAGTTTTATTTTGATTTAGAAGTGTTAAAATCAGATTATCAATCTTTCGTGTGGTGAGATCGTCTCAAAGGGTTTGTGATGAATTATTTGATCCTTTGTGAATACTTATTATTTATCATAACTATGACAAGAATTTGAGATTTTCTGGTAATCTAGTTTAAAAACTCTTTTGGGATGACAAAACAGCTATACCCTCTTAAGAAAAGAGGAAATTATAAAATTCACAAGGGATATAATCCTATTAAAAAACACTTCGATTTTTAAGTAGAAAAAAAATTTAAGAAGATTTCCCTATAAGTATTGATTTAACGTTTTCAATGCGACTGTTTAGTAAGAAGAGAGTCTCACTATCCAACAAACTACGTTAGTTGGTTTAAATGAGGCAGGTTTAGCTCAGTTTTCTTACCACCTGATGCTATTTTTATAATCTTGTTATCAGCTCGCCATATCTTCAGGGGAGTCTACAAGCAGGGTTGATTTTTTTATTAAATTCTACGTAAAGTCTTTGAATGGCATTTAGCAATTGTGAGTACGATATATAGACACCGAGGACGACGGGGGAAACACGTCGAAACGTTGCATAAAACTTTAACCAGTGATTGTTGTTCCATAAAGCTGTGTCTATATATAATTCTACGTACTTTATATACTACACTGAACAAAAGGAAATGTGCCCCGCTTGTACAGTTAAAGAGCAGAAACCGCTGACTAACTGACTAAGTAGACATTTTCCCATTTACGACTTATAGGAGAAAATCCTAATTTGACAATTGTGAACTAATTTGACAATTGGGAACTAATTTGACAATTGGGAACTAATTTGACAATTGGGAACTAATTTGACAATTGTGAACGAGGAACATGGTGTGACATAGATGAGAAGTTATCGGCGGTATACAACACGAATGCAGACAATAATCGGATACTAAAACACTGATGTATCAAAAGTTCAATAGCGTTAGAAATCATCAAAACCTCAAAGGTACTTAATATATATAGGCTCTGTGATTTCTGTATTTAATTATTTTATGAATTGAAATATTGACTTCGTATAAGGTCTTCCAGATGACGACATTATTACAATTAAAATAGCATTTGAATAACTCTCTCTAAAGATTTTCCATTCGAGTGTCTGGAATTATTCCAAAATTAAATTATAAATCTAATATTTTCCTAGACAAAAAGACTTTTCAAGACATAAAATGACTTATTTTAAATTTCATTTCGGAAATTTCGACACAATTGTCAATTGTCTTTCTTGTACGGATTTTTATCATAAATTTCAGAGATATTTGTCCTGATAGTAAGCACGGCGGAAATTTCCAGACAAATTCAAACTCTGCCGTAAGTGTGGCAAGGTCATCACGACCACTAAACGCCAAAGAAAAAAGGATAACGAAGATAATACACTAATTTTACTGAAGAACGCCTTATAAAATCTGGCTCACTGGTTTCCGGCTGAATTCATCCCTTTGACAGAAAGCATCTCTTCCCGATAGTTTGGGTTTATAAACAATATAAAGCACATTAATTAACACTATCAATGTGCAAGTTGTATTCGAAATGAAATGAATGGCGTTTTACGTCCAGGACAGTGGCATTAGCCTCCTCTTTTTCGATTTCCAGGGATCTTTAACGTGCACAGCCTGTAGCACACAGCAATTGTCCCATCCGAACGAATAGACGCTTTTTCCATGTCAGCCCCTGTCACTTCCTTCACTGACAGGGGGAATCCGGGTTAAAAAATCAGAGGATATTATCTCGACCTATACCGGGATTTTTTTTCAAGCGTCTAACTCACTGAGCCACCGCGGCACCCGCAAGTGGTATTCGAAAGATGTGTTTTGTCTTTCATGTCGTAATGGTGCGCGGAAACGAACTGTTGGCCATTTTTGTCCGCCCACTGTTGGAATTCTCGCTGCATTACATGGGTTGAGTATAAATGGGAAGACTAGTTCACTGGTTGCTGAATTGTACAGGTCTTGAAGGCATGAGTTGCAACTCTTATTTCTTTATCTCTATTTTTCATTTACAACAGCAAATGAGTAATTGCCTGTTTTTAGTCAGATAATACACCTTTACTTGAGTTTATATGATATTTCCCTACAGAAATCCCTAGAGGTGCGGAATTTTAAATACCATAAAAACCATCTGCCTTGTTTTATTCTAATTTCCGTAACGACTGATTCCGTTCTCAATAACAAAAAACAAATATTGATATTACCAAATGGAAACTGCTGATGAAAATACAAATAAACAGACAATAAATAGACAACACAAACGCCATTTTTTCAATGATCAAATCATTCTTTCTGATAGAGAGCACAAACAAATTCCCAATAAAACAATATTCCAAACTAACCTAGTGGTTTGACTATATAAAGATACAAAACTTCCCACCATTCTCAGGCCAGAGATCAGGATAGGTACCAAATAATTCATTACTGCTTATTATAATGCCAACAAATATGATCTAAGAGGGTGGTCTGGTTGTCGATTCGCTCTTATATGTAGTTCCAAACTTATATTTTGCATGAAAACGGTGTCCCTAGACATTGTATGTGAAACTAGAATTGGATATCACGCACGGTCTGGATAGTGTGGAGTACAAATGTTAACCAAGACCGTGAATATATTGTGTAATTGGATAGCTGTTTTTCATCACTTGTGAAAAAAGTGCAACCGTCTTCACTTGGAGAAATGTGGTAAAAAAGGTACGATTTAAGGGCTGACCCAGTCCCCATCATATGAGGCAAGGGTTTTAATTTTCAGTTTAATCAAGATGTAATGGCTAAATAATGTGAAATATGTAAGTTACAACAATTAAACTATGATCAATATACATCTATTACATAATTAAATTAATTAAAGTAGTTTATTTTGTCTTTTTTACTACTATTTACATATCGAGAAGACTTAACTCATTAACAACTTAATTTGTAAAATTCAGCTTCAAGCAGAAGGTCTTCTGGTGCGTTGCTATTCCCTGGCAGCGATCAGATTATTGCCGGTATTCGATATTTGAAATAATTTGATACATGACCAAAGGGTTTTGGTGATAGCATCATTTCTTTTTGCAGTTGCTACTAGAGAGATCGAGTCTTCGATCTTCGGTGAGCAATTAGCTTATCCGCTGTTGAGATTTACGGTCAATGTTCCAAAAATCCATCTTCCTACATTTAACATTCTGAACAAATTGCCCTATATTTGGGTTATAAATAAATCAAGTACTAACGATCCCAACCGAAATCCAAAACAACATATTCATAAAACTTAAGTGGAAGCTAATAAACTTCTCACACGCGGAAGTATACCAATCATAAGAGTGTGAGTATTTCATAATGAAAAGTGGTATTCGATTTCTAGGATAGTAACCATATCCTGCTTGGTGATATCTTGTGATATTTGTATTTGTCGTCCATTTGCTCAAGCGTGTCATAACTTCTTGAACTACTCCACCTCTTTGACAAATTAATTATTCTGAAACTCTTCATATACATTTTTCTCATAATATTAACAAATTAACCATTTTAGTACGGTGTGCAGTGTGGAATGTCACTGGTACTAACAGATCATCAAACAGAACAGCATCTTCAGCCATTCTTAACCTTATGCCAATAAGTGCCTTCCAGTGGACTTCAAATTCATTTGTTCCCGAAAGTAATGGACATAGTCACCTTTGTTATTAAATGTTACTTTATACTTAAGTATGTTATACATTGACCGGATGCCAATTTTTTACCTTTTCCTTACAAATTCAGGAATGTTATTAAATTATTCTATGACTTTTTTAGTTATATTATTGTAGTTGAAGAACCTTGTTGACTGTCTTGACAATTTGAAGGGTCCGATTTGATTGCTCTTCAAGTCGTTTCTTTCTCAGAAAATACATTTAAGAACTTTAACGACAAACTGTATAAACAGAATATAAATTTGCTTTTTTTTCCAATGTGACATTAACCACTTGAGCACGCTTTGAATATTGATTTTATCGGTATTTTTTTTACTGTTTTTATCAGTAGATTATAGAAGTACTCGTCAAAATGGTTGATTTTTTCTTCCAATAATGATGTAGTTCACAATTATTACATAAAACTACACGATTCAATATTTATTATCGAAATGAGAACGAATACAACTGTATTGACATGATT